CAGGCTGCGCGCGGTCCGGCTCCTCAGCAGCGGCAGCAGCCGGGACATGGCGGGCTGAGGAGCAGAGACCCCCGCGGCAGTCCGGGAGGGCGATTTCTGGCGAGGCTGAGCGGACAAGAAGGAGCTGGGCTCAGCCCGACCCCGCCCCGAGGTCCTCCTGACAGGCAGCCGAGGCGCCGGGCACCATGCACTCCCCGAGCCCGCGCCGCCGTCGCCTCCTCTGCCGTCCCCCTTCCCTTCCAAAAGGCCCGCGGCGGCTCCGGTCCCTCCAACAGGAAAAACTTTCTCTGAGGAGGCCGGGCTGGGAGGGCTCCCGGAGAGGGCGGGCGGGCGGTGCGGGCGGGCGCCTCCCGCCTGAGGAGGAGCGGCGCGGGCGGGCGGGTTCGGCGAGGGCTGGTGTCTGTCAGTCTGATCTTCCAGAGGGATGAGTCAGCCACGCGCCGCCCTCCTCCGGCGCCGCCCTCCTCTCCCGCCTGCTTTCCCACCCTCTTGCCTGCCCTCGTCGCCACTCCGGGCGGCTCCCGCGCCCTCAAAGCGGCCGAGATCCCAGACCTCAGCCGCCGCCGATACCCCTAGCGGCGGTATTAGGGGTAACAGGGCGGGGCTAAAGGAGAAGGCGGGGCGGAGGCGGGGCCACGCAGGCGCAGTCCCCAGGCTCGCTAGCCGTGCTCCCTCCCGAGTAAGCAGCGTGCGCGCGCGTCTCCGCACGCTCCGGGGCGTGAAGGTGGCGGGAAGCGGGTGCCACTTGTGCTGGGATCCGCTACCCTTTCGGCGAGTGGAGGACGGAGACAGAGCTTTGGACTCCTCTCCCGGCCGAGTAGTGCAGCTGCCACCCGGCCCGCCCTAGCGCCATGCCTAAATCTGGGGCTCGTTCTGAGCAATGCTCCAGCGTGCGTCCCCCCTCGCCCGGCACGAGCCGGGAGTAGTCCCTCCAGGCCGCTCCGGAGAGCCTCGCTACCGCTCGGAACCTCGCGGGGTCACAGCGCCCTGCTCAGGTTTTTGGGCATTGAAGCGCCCAAGCCGCGCCCTTTGCCAGGTTGGCGCCCACCATGGCCCCGGCCAGACACTCGGGTCTCTGAGGCACCCCTTCTGGGAGCTCTAAAGAGAGGGCGAGGCCGGTTCTACCGCTTCCCAAGAGGGATTTGAGACTGAGACCTTGACACTGAGAATACCCTTCCTCAATCTGATGCCAGCAGCTTGCAGATTGTTAATGCTGCAGTGGCAGGCAAGCATGTCACAGACCTTTTCTGGGTGTTTTGTCAAGTTTGGGTTTTTTCCCTCTATGTCCAGACGGAAAGAATTGTGCGATTCTCCACTATTTCCGCGTGTCCAGGTCCTAGCCATCTTTCAAGGACCCGTTCAAAGGATCTCCTACTCCAAGCTTTCCTTGATCTCTTCCTAAGAGGGGAGATCTCGGCTTTATCTGAACCTGTCTAATGACGCTTAGGCTTCCTGTCTTAGAGGACAGATCCACTTAGAGAATAATCTGCTTAAGTGTAATCAGGATCTAAATCCTATCCTTATTATATCCGATACGGCACCCAGCCCAAGACCTTGTATGTAGTAGATGTGCCATAAACACATAGGTGCAAAATCTAAATGTGAGTCAAGGGAGGAATATTATAGCTAAATTCTCCTGCTGCTCTAACTCAGTGGTTCTCAAAGTGTGGTCCCTGGACGGTAGAGCTTGTTAGACATGCAAATTCCTCTGCTCCACCCAGGACCTCCTGAATCAGAAACTGGGCGTTGGGCCCAGTCATCTGTGTTTTAACAAGCTTGCCACTCAATACTGATGCACATAAAAGTTTGAGAACCACTGCTCTAACTTAAAGAAACATGGAAGCATTTTTTTTTTTTTTAATTTCAAGGCAATGCCTCTGGTGTAATAATAACAATTAAGAATGCACTCTGTGGAAAATGCAAATTCTTTGAGTGTAGAGACTGTGTCATTTTTGTCTTTGAAACCCTCTACACCCCCAGTGTGTGTTGGACTCCCCTGCAAAGTTATTTCAGTCTCAAGTTCTTGGGATTACCACCACCCTATCCCTTACCCCCAAGGGATTCTGACTCATTGGGCTGGAGGTGGGGCCTGGGAAGTGAGATGTGGAAAAGCTCATCACTAAGAACCCATTCCCAACAGTCTCTAGGACACAAGTTTTGTGTGTGGGCTCCAGAAACAGACTGCTGGAAGTTTGGTAATTGGATCAACCATTCCCTAGCTATGTGGTAGATTATTACAATAGTGGTCCCAATGAATCATGCCTTATGGCATCCACTGCCTTGTATAGACCTTGACTGCATTGACTATGGGCTTGGTCGTGTGACTTGCTTTAGCCGATAAGTGAGACATCACAAACCTGATCTACGTGCTTGCTTGTTGGGGCTTGCTGTACTGTGTTTGCTGTATGATTTATGAATATTCCATTCTGCTATAGAAAATAAGAGAAACTAAAATGTAGACACAATTTGCTTACGAGACGTTGCACATAGAATAAATGGATATGTGTTGAACATAGATAAAAAGGATAGAACAAATGAAAGGGCTACTTTAAATAGAAAGAGATAGACCAAGTGAACTTTAAATATTAATAAGGCATGGATCATATTACCTGTAGACTGACAACTATGTCATCCCTAAATTGGCCACCTAGTAGTGACGCCCATTATAGCCCCGTGATGGCCCCATGTCCTGTCTGCACAAGAAAAACAGATAAACTCCTAACTACTCAGCCAGCTAATGGCCAGCTACAGTTATGACCAGACACAGTTGCCTCTATGTCTCTCTGACAGAAGAAATGAACGTTGGTTCCAAGTCCCTTCGATCTGCCAACCCCCCTCGCTTATTCTCTACTCCGGTCCTTAAAACCACACCATCTGCGGAGAAGACTGGCACAGCAGAAAGGGATAGGACATATGAACATTGCATAAAACAAAATTTAGGTACCATGGTCCTTCTACCCTGCTTATACCCTATCCTAGGCTTGTTTATCTACCCTGTTTCTTTCCTCTTGCTTCTCACTCTGTTCTAAATTGGTTGATAAACTGGGTTACTAGTGCTGCTCTTTAAGTGAACACGTTATACCAAACTTAATGGCTTAAATAGCCAGTTTAAATAGCCAGCTCCTGATTTTGTGGCTTAGAAATTCAGGAAGGGCTTGCTTGGGCAGTTCTTTGTTGGAGTCTCTTATCAGATGTCAGCTGCAGCCGCTGTCATTTGAAGGCTCATCTGGGCTGGACATCCAAGACAGCACACTCATGTGGCTGACAGTTGATGCTGGCTGTTGGCTGGCTGAGAGCTCAGCTTGGGCTGTGAACCAGAGCACCTTCCCACTGCCCCTCCAGCATGGCAGACTTCTCAGATGGCAGCTGGCTTCCCTCAGAGCAAGTGTCTGAAAAGAACCAGGCTCACGGCTTTTTCTGACTTATCCTAAGAAGTCATGCAGCATCACTTCCAATGTACTCTACTAGCTACTAGCAAGCTACTAAGACCAGCCCAGATTCAAGTGAAGGGGATATAGCCCCCCCTCTCAATGAGAGCAATGCCAAAGAATTTGGGGACATGTTTTAAAGCTGCCACATAAACAGTGTGATTCAAGCATCTTAATTTGGTCTATAAAGCATATCTGTTCTGTAACCTATGGTACAACCTGTCTGGTGGTATACTTGGAGGCTGCCATGGCATCAAGGTAATTTTCCACGTGCCATTTTCCCTCTTGGAATTCAGCTGCCATATAAAGAAGTCTGGAGTATCCTGCTGGAAAGGCCACATGGAGGAGGAGGCAACAGCCAACAGCCCCAGCTAACTACCAGGCACATGCACGAGGCCATCTTGGACCGGCCAGTCCCAATCAAGCCCCAGATGACAGCATTGTGATCTTTAGCTCTGGAGCCAGACTGCCTGGGTTTGAGTCCTTGCTCTACCATCTACTAGCTGTATAACCTTGAGCTAATATCTCAACCTTTCCATGGCTGCTCAGCTGTTTGATGGGGATAAAGGCACATTGCTAAGTTTGCTCCTCTGTTAAATGGAGAAAGAGGGCATCTGCTTAATAGGGTTATAGTGAAACTAAATGAGTTAATACATGTAAAGCATTTCAAACACGCCTGGAACATGGTAAGTGCTCAGTAACTATCAGCTATTATTATCCAAATTCCCAGGGAGCCCTCAAACCTCTAGGATTATGTCTTTGGACCCTAATTTGAGAGATATCTACCTAGCTACTTGTCATTTAATACACATTAATGTGTGTTAACTGGGTTCTCTATCCACTCCCTTTCTCCAAACACTTGAATATTTGGATATCCTAAATAAGAATACATAGAGGAGATGGAGGGGGGAGGGTTTGGGGTCCATGTATGGAGCTACTGAAAAGTATAGGATAAGACAGGTCTAGGTGTGTGTGGCAAGAGGAAGGTTCTGAGGAAATATGACGGTGCTGATGAGGCAGTGCTAGCAGGTTGGAGCCTGTTACAAAAATAGAAGAGGAAGAGGAGGAGGGTTCAGAAGGCAAACTTGGCCTGGGTTCGGCTTAGCCTGCTCTTCAATTTTAAAGATGACCAGCATCGTGCCTCAGTTAACAATCACAGTTTCCTCCTCATGAAAAATTGCTGCTGAATCAACAGTCCACAGTAGGTTACATCAGGCAGATGCTCTCCAGAGTTCCTGGCATCCCTGTTGCTGGTGGGGCACAAGGCTATTTGCTGTCTACCTCTTACGATATGTTATACACCCAGCCATAACTGTCCACTTTAAAATTCTTGAAATCATAGCTTTCCTTTGTGGGACCTTTAATCATTTCTTCTGCCCACATGCTTGCGGTTCCCTT